TCTACGGAACCTGACATTTTTTTCTTTTCTTGAAGATATTACTGCATCAATGGACCAAAATAAAGCGCCCATTGAAATATTTTTAGATCTTTCGAAAGCTATTGACGTCGTTGACCATAACATCGTGCTATTAAAATTACCTTCTTATGGAATTAGTGGTATCGTCCTAGATTGGATAACCTCGTACCTTAAACATCGATCTCAAAGGGTAGAAATGTAGAAATGCCGTACTGGTACGAAAAAATATTATGTACTTAAGTTTCCAATTCCTTACCAATTGAATATGTTGTCCCGCAAGGTTCGATCTTAGGTCCTATCCTCTTTCTGTTATGCGTAAACGATATGCCCTCGTCTATTGAAACGGAAGACCAGTTCTGTTTGCTGATGACACGAATGAATATTCTTTGTCAAAAATAAACCATAAATAATATAATTTCAGAAGTTTCAAATTGGTTTTGTAATAAATTAATAGTAAACGAAGGAAAAACAGTTTCAATTCATTTTTACATTTCAAATCAGCAATCACATGATGCATTGAAAATGAACAATATGCAATTAGCTGATGTTCAGGTAACAAAATTTCTCAGTCTTTCAATTCAGTCACACCTCAAATGGAATGTACATACAATATAACAGAATTAAACACTAAATTAAGTTGATTATGTTACGCATTCAGAATTCTTTCAATTTCCGTCAGCCTTCGTGATACTCGTTGCGTGTACTTTTCAAATGTGCATTTCCGCCTGAGATATGATATAATATTCTCGGGAAGCTCATCACGTAGTACCCAAACCTTTAGATTGCAAAAGAAAATTATTCGAATAATAAAAAATTCCATCCGCGTGATCCCTGCAAGCCTCTCTTCATTGAACTTGAAATCTTACTATTGTCTTGCCTATTTATTTACAAATCTGTACTATTTGCCAAAACTGACCTACTCAACAGTGGTAACATGTTTTCATGCAATACTGATATTTATGATTACAACACACGTAAAAATCACATTCAACAACTGTCAGTATCAACAGCTCACTACCAGAAATCCACATACAATACATGTACGTTACTTTACAACGCATGGCCAGAAGACATTAACAATTGAAGTCGGTACACAAATTTAAGTTAAACGTAAAATATTTTCTGCTGCATAACTGTTTCTATATAATTAAAGACTATACTGGTTATCAAAAAGAAAAATAATGTCTATTTTAACAAAACAATAATATATAATAAAATTGGTTTACATTTGTATTGTATAATGTTTTAAAAAGACTTAATATGTTTGTAACAAATTATGTACCTCAGCTTCCGGGTCAATGACCCCCATCTCGATCTATTTTTGTCCAATTTCCCTGTTATATTGAGCAAGCTGAGATGGTCCCTTGTTTTGCTCTTGGACGTAAATGTAGCTTCACTATGCGCACGATTTGTTGAACTCTCCTTTTGCTTGTAGTGGTAGGAGTGGAAGTAAGGGCGAGTTACTATTTTGTTAGCAATGCACAAAATAAAACCTACAGTTCGTTTACCGTTGCAAATAAGTTTTCTATAACTCGGGAACAAAAATGTCTAGTTATTCAAATGTCGCCAATCGTGAGTTTTTGTTTTTTTAAATTTTATATTTATTTATTTTTAACTTTTACTCATCTTTCAACTATTTATAGATAAAATGACGGGAAGTGATTCTGGAACTCAAGAAAACGTGCTCAGATTATCTTCTCCCACATTTGTCACATACAGTTTTTACTTTTTTTTACTAAACCAATCTACATCTACATCTAAATCGTACGGCAGAGCATTAAACACAAACCAATAAACATTGATTTTATATATTAGATTGCATTTTTTATTATAAAGTGATTAAAATACTTCCAATGAAGTTTCTCCGAAACTTTAACGTTTTCTGCGATAAAGATTTCGCATTTACAATAATCATTAAACGGTATTTTCAGATAAACGGCTCCACATTTTCAATGAAAATGTGTATATAGGATGAGGTTTACTCTTCTATAACAATGTTAAAGCAATATTTCAGTTCTACCATTAGGGGAAAAATTGAGAAAATGTGAAAAAAAAAGAACTTCGGGCAGCGATAGATGGCACCTTGCAAGAGGGTAGAGCAAGACCGAAAAGCTAGTCCAAATCAAAGAAATTAGAAAACTAAGGACGGGTGACACCACGTCTGCTTACGATTGTTAAGCGAGGCTTTAGCAGAAATAAGCAAGCTTAGGTCAATATAGCGTTTAACCATGGTCCGTAAGCTTTGCTTAACATTTAGCTACGCTTTGTACATAAGCGCTCGCCGGATGATCACTTAAGGGACGTAAACCGGCTAAAGGAAACAAAAAAAATGGCGGAGAGGTTATGTGCTATTGCATTCGGTGACGGCGACCACGTTTTTGAAGACAGAATTTCTCCACGTAAGCAAACTAGATGGATCCGAGACAAGGCAAACTTCTTCGAAGACTTCGATAAAATTGATTTTCGTACTAGCCTTCGCCTTTCGAAGAGATCGACATTATTTATGTTGGAGCAGATCGAAAAAGAAAAATAACAACTAGAATTTACATCTGACAGATATGTAGTGTAGCCTAGTTGTAACTACATAAGGGAGAGTTGAAAGTTAACACCTTTAATAAACAGTATTTTCCCAGTATCTTACAATAGTAAAAAGATAACATTTGAAACTCAGGTCAATGTTATGATAGGCTTGTATCAGTGTAGTATTTCAATGTTAAAGGCAGCACGAATTTAGACACAACGAAATTCTAGTCATTACCCTGTTAATTTGATGTTCAGTAGTTACTGGCATCCTAAATTGCATTTTACATATATGTGATTTATGAATTCAATACGTCCGTAACGACTACGAAAAATTTGGGCAATGCACAGAACTTTGTGAGACTATTGTATTTCATTTACTAATGTTTTAATTCATTAACCAACTTTCAGGGCTTTAATTGAACAATTAACTATTTTGTAATGTAATACGATTATTCTTTTTATAAATAAGAAATCTATGACATTCCTTTCCATAAGACAGTGTTATTGCTTGTACCGTGTGACACAAAATTAATAACGATCGTAAATTAATTTGATAGAATAAACAATGAACAAAAATACAAAATTCACGCACCATCAGCAAACTATAGGACTGAACCAAGTGGTGGTGGTCGACGAAAAAATATATATTTAAAAGCATGGAGACAACTGTCAAAGAACGTACAGAACGTTGATGTGTTTACTTTCTAGCGTTACCAACCTTAGCGGAAGATGCACGAAGCCCGCTTAGCTAACCTGCGCCGCTAGATTGCCTCGAGGGGACTGGGTGAAACGCGTTTGCCGTAAGCTCGCTTAAATTTAAAACTTAAATTTTAAGCGAGTTTAACAAAGCAGCACTTAACAAAATATTAGTGAGAAATAGTACGAGAAAGTCGGTGCCATACTGTAGCACCATTAGTTTGAATTTGAAACCGAGATTTTCATTTTGAGGGTTACTTTACATGAAACATCAAGAACATTTTCAACGTTTATTCAAAAATGGCTCCAAATTTTTTCTTAAATTTTTCAACTGATAGAACAAAATATGCCTTATTAAGTGGCGTAGGTCTCCTTTTTGCTATATTCTCTGAATTTTCTGAAATTGCAAATGTTCAAAATTATTGTCGACGTTTTCGTAATCCTACAGTAATGAAGATAAAGATGTTTTCTTTAATGAAATCTGTTCATCAAAAACAGATGTTCGTGCAAGGTCACGTAAGAAATAGGTTGACAATAGGTAGATCGAGGAAGGTTTTGAATGTGTAATAACATATTCGAAACCCTCCTCGATATGTATTCAATTTCCTACAACAAGTTGTTTCAGTACGAGTTGTTTCAATAATTTGTAGTTATTATTCATACACTGTAACATTAGACCTCCACATCCAACCACTTTTATCTTCTCACCCTTACGTAAGACGAGAAAATATTGTATTCGCGCACCGGAAAACGGCGTACTTTAGACACAAAAACTCATTGACAGGCCCTGGTTACGTGAAAGTGAATTTTTTTTTCATATATATAGAAAATTACTTCTAACATGTTGTGTAGTCAGAATCCATGTTTTGGGGTCCTCGATACAGAAAACCGATTGGTGGCAAAACGTCTGTCTGTCCACCTTTCTGTCCGTCTGTCCGCCTGTGATCGACGCTAGCGCCAAAACCATTCAGCGAATTTTCTCCAAAATATATATTCTCTAACGATCTGGCTTATGACGCTCTCCTTTGACTTTGAAACCGATATTTTGGGAGGTACTTTACATGAACCCCAAGAACATTTTCAAAATTTTCAAAAAAAAGTTTCAAATTATGAGTATCTATTGTGAAATTTTACGCGAAATATAGGTATTTTAAATTTTTTTTTTTCAAAAACCACTCAAATTTTTTTCTTTAAATTTTCTCTTCGTAAATATGAAGGGACGGTAAAAAATAAAGTGCTATTCCAATTTTCCGCGAACTCTGTGTATTTTCGAAAATTGAAAAAAGTTATTTCAAAACAACAAAAGTGATAATGACAATTTTTGCCTCAAAATCTGTTTAAAAAAACTTTACAAAATAGGGCAAATATGAACACATGTAAGAGCAAAATAAAGAACATGCTTAGATAAATGTTAATTACTCAAATATTAATTAATAATTTCCACTCCTCTCCCCCTCCGCTTTAATAATTATTTGTTAGTTGACGAATCTTTCTGAGTTTACAGTGGCTGAAGTTAGTTTCTTTTTCCCTCCACTTGATTCGTATTCTTTTAATTAAACCTTAAGGAGCGAGAATTGTTTCCTTTATCGTAATTCCAGAGACGATGGCGCCTCGGTGTCGATCATTTGCCACAGAGCACTTTCAGGAACTTTCGCCCATTTTAAAGTGAGCGTCATTCCTTGAATTGAAGGCTATCAATTGTACATACAGCCCGGGGCCACGGATGATTCTTATTGAAGTTTAATAATTGATGGTATTTGCAGGTGTTAGGTGCAAAATACCTGATGAATCGGGTTCGAGACTGTGCTTGACACCTCGGTTGTATCCGTCTATTAAGCTTCTTCGATTTTCTAAGGTTGCTATGTGCGCTTATGAGACTTACTGTAGAGAGTTTACAAGGCTCCACACTTTAATCTAGGTCCAGAATTGTGGACGGGTCTAGTACTTTCTGGAACCTCTTGTTGGCTGCTTCACGAAGTATACTGCCATATTCTATTTTGGATCTCACTAAAGATTGATATGTTCTTTTTAAAACTGAACAATCATCGTCCTAAGGTGCAGCACTGAGCGCCTTGGTGATGCCCATTTTTTTCTTGCATTCTTCGCTTCGTGCTTTTATGTGTGGAATCTATGTCAACTTCTTGTCTAAAGTCATTCCAAAAATTGTGATTTCAATGCTGATCAAGTTTATGATCACCTAGCATTAAAGTAAAATTATTACTATCTTGTCGTTTTCTGGAGAATATTATGAAAGTATACTTAGTTTTAGAAATATTGGGACCGGATTTGCTGGGGGAATGTAAGAAATCATCTAAGACTTTTTGAGCATTTTCTTGCTTTGCTTTCAAATATTACTTTCCGAAATTTGTGTTGTGAAATTTGATTATTGAGTTAAGTTGAAGCCGGTGAAAGTAAGAACTTGGATTTTTAAATAATTTAGTAACATTAAGAGTAAGAGACGAATCGTGGGTTGCAATTCTGCTGGGCATACAGGTTGAGTTCACAAAGCACTTCTGCTTTCATGCGAATTGGATAGCACGGGCAAAACTAGTGGTGCTACAGAATGACACAGACTTTCCCGTATTACTTTTCTATTTCCTTTGGTCTCGGTTAGCTATTCGGACTTAACACATACTCTTGCAAGATGCCATCTATCGCTGCCTAATTTTTTTTTTTTAAATTTTCTTATTTTTTCGCTTTTCTAATAGTAAACTGGAAACATTATTTTAAGAATACTCAAAAAAGTAAAACCTCCATCTAAATTGCAATTTTATTTGAAAAATTGGAGCCGTTTTAACGACAATGGCGTTTAAGTGTTACTGTAAATTCGAAATTTTGAAGCTCTTTCTCACAGAACATTTTTGAGTTTTCGAGAATCTTTTATTGGACGTCACGTGAAGCACAATGTAACTCAAAAATACAACAAGTTTACAAATTGCTGGAAATGTGCATATTAACGGTGTGAGAAATCTTTCAAAAAATACATATACGTAATTTTCAAAAAATAAGAAAATACCCCAATATGAATTTTACGTCATATTAAACAATGCAATTAGCACTATCGATTGGAAAGGTTTGAAGAAAACATTTGCGACCGTTTTTAGAAAATGGCGTTTGAGCGTTTCTCAAAATATTGAATTCCTAGCTAGTTTTTACAGAAAACGATTGAGTTTTCAAGAAACTTTATGTTATTATTAAAATCATATAACTATAGTAATGTAAACAAATCGCTACTAGTGTAAACATTAACGTCGCGAGTGACAAGTCAATAAAATTACATTTTTGTAGTTTTTGAAAAAAACAAAACAATAGAGCGAAATGACTTTCATGTCATCACATACAGAACATTTAGCTCTATCGCGGCCAAACGTTTAAAGAAAAAAATTGGAGCGTATTTGGAGAAAATCTTGGTTTGGTTATTTTTTACAATTGCATATATTATATGCAATATTGCTCGAAAAGTACTAAATATTTTAAAAAAGAACATGTTTTTAATGAAAGAACTCACTATGGAAAACAAGTTTTATTTGAATGAAAAATGTCTATCTTCAATTTTGTAATTGTTGAAAGTTGTTGTTCAGCTTCAACATTTTCGAAAATTCAGAGCTAACCCTGAAAACCGGACCTATATCACCTTTATTAGCGTATTTTACTCTACTATTCTCACAAGAAATTTAAAGAAAAAATTTGGAGTCATTTTTGAGAATATTTTGAAAATGTCCGTGAGGCTTCGTAAAGTACCCCCAAAAATTATTGAATTTTTTCAAAATCGCACATCTTCGACTCATGCCAGATCGAGAGGGGTTTATTCGTTTGGAAAAAAATCGCACTCATAGTTTAGATACTAGTGTTGTTCTCATAGAACCGGACAGACAGACAGATTGACGGACGTTTTGTAAAAAACAACACTTTTTCGGTATTAGAGGACCTCAAAACCTGTATTTCCGTTGAAATCTTGGACTCGATTTCCCGCAACAATTCATAACTTTCCCTACACTGCATATGTCACTCCGTATATACGTACGTATTCAGTAAAGTAAAAACAATGTTGTGGGAAAAAATGGCCTCCTCGGATACAACTACTACCTGGACAGAGAAATGTGGTTAACACTCCTCTTGCTGACATTGTACATGAATGACTGAGATAATTCCACTGTATGGGATGCCACTTCAACTCCATTTGTTGAATGACCCTTTGCTAATCTCGTCCCCGCGTGACGCCGTTTGTGATGAATGAGGCGAACGGCTCCACCGGACAATCCTCAAATGGAAAAGCCTTACCAAGGCAACTGGAGCGACGCAATGTTGTCCGACAACTGCTGAACCTTTCGAGGAGACGACCTTCCTGAGGCGAAGTAGCGCAAGTAATCGGGAATGAAATATGTGTAGGTATGTTTCTCCACTTTTCTTAACACTTGTATTTCTTTCTGATACATTTGGATATGATATTTTTAGAGCGTTCCACTTTGCTAGATAAATATATAATACACAGGGAGACATAAGCATTTACAAAATTATCATCAGTGAAAACTGAGACCGATACAGAAATTCTGAAATTTGATCTGGATTGAGAGGCACATCATTTTCCAGAAACTGCTTTTGTTCTTCTTACAGAAAAAAAAAAAGATTTTTTCTGCAGACCCGTCTTATCCATGCAGACAGACACGAACAATTTCTCCACAACAACATGCTTGAAGCTAAATATGTTGTTGACCACGCCATCTTGTAAGATAAGAAACAGAGAAGGGAAGAGGAAAAGATAAGAAGAAGGAAAGCGCCAACTGTCACTGTACTGTCAGCGTAATCACCTATTTCTGCGACGCACAAAACTAAATCACCTGTGTCTGCTGGGAGCTTAGTCAACATGAACTACTTGAACTTATGATAAATATTCATTTGAAACTTGATAATCAAGGAAGAATCAGAAGACCTATATGAATATTAAAGTGACCAATGAAAATCTTGTTTTACTTTCTGAGAAAATGAAACTAGTGATGCTCCAACAGCACACATATTGTCGCATGATTTCTAACTGCTTCGTTATATTATTCTACTTCATAAACCTGAAAAGGTGTTTTAAAACAGCAAAGTTTTTTCCGCTCAGAGACTTGAACTCATGTCCTCCGAGATAACTCGCCGTAAGCAGTACCTGCACGCCATGGAAAGGGTGTGAGGTGCGAAAATGGGCCGACGCTTAAAAATGTACTTGTCACAATCCAACATGCCGTTTTCTTGAATTCAGAGGGATCACCGAAAATGCGACCTACGCCATTCTTTGAAAACTCCCTTGTTTACTACAAGAAAAAAATAACGAAAGAGACCTGTTTTTGAGAAAGTGTTTTATTTTTACTTTCTCTTATATGTACGTTACGGAGTAATATCCGTAGTATAGGGAAAGTTATGTAATGATTTTTCCAAAATGTCCGTCTGTCTGTCCGGTGTGAGGGGGATATCCTCCTGTACAATGCCATCTAATAACAGCTATTGGAGTTAAATGGCCCTCGGCGGCCATTTAACACGGCCGGGACATTTAATCATAGGTCAGGACCAGTCAGGACGTTGTAATATCATGTCACACCTGTGGCAGCACCATGGGCTGGCAAAAACCCGGGAGATATTGCAAATCGATCCCAGACGTGTGTCAGTCTCCCTCTCTCCCTCCCTCCCTCTCTCTCTCTCTATCTCTCTATCTCTGTGTGTGTGTGTGTGTGTGTGTGTGTGTGTGTTTGCGTGTGTGTGTGTCTCTCTCTCTGTGTCTGTCTGTTTGTCTCTCTCTCTCTTTTCCTCTCTCTCTCTTTCCCTCTCTCTCTCACACACACACTTTTCCAATCCCAAAGCAACGAACAGTGCAATAACTAAACAAAGCATTTTGATATTCATTTAGTAAAGAGGGCTTGCCTAGAGGACGTGCATTCATCTTGTGCTCCCTTCGCATGATTCGTATGATAACCGTCAGCTATGTTGTAATGTTCGGAGCTTCTTTCCTAGAATAATTGGGTTTTTTCTTCAGATATTAGAAATTTAGGTCGTGGAAAATCACGGCGACATCTTGATTGCTCGTTATAGTTAACGCTGTTTGGAATATCGCATTGATCTAGCCTGAAGCGAGCTAATATAATTGAATATAAACGTGTCGTTCAATCGGGAGGTTAAACCTCATCATAGTGACGTCACTGTAGTGACGTGTAATCTCTCGATTGGATGACACAGAAACAGCTGATAACCTGTCAGGGGCAGCTCTAAATAAATCGAAGTATAGCAGAGTTCTTGTACCAGTAACGATACAGTCAAGATAATGTATTTCTTCTATATCTGCATGTAATCTAATTTTCTGTATGTTTCAATAAATGCAATGACTTCTTTCCTCCCCTTAAGAATCCTGTAGGGAGCCGCCACCGCATGGAGTAATAAAACCTCACCATAAAATTGGGAGAAAAGGCTTCCCACTATTCTAATGAACCACCGCCAATAAGAGAAAACACTACCTCCAAACATTATTGGAACCGCGTAATATTAAGATATAAACCAACCCCGAACAGGTTTCCTCATGTTCAATTGGCGTTGAAGACTGAAATAATATTTTTCGATGTACATTACTGGGTAAATTGATTGCATCTCTTAGTTTTCTGAAACATAGATATCTATAACCAATATGTTTTTTCTCTATCAAATTGTGGTATAACTCAACCAATCGAAGAATGAAAGAGGTGATTGCGGCGCGTCTTGGAACTAACGGCGTTAACGCGGATCTATAGTCACGAGAAGCGTGAAGCCAATTGTTTATCGTTGTAGC